TTTTTTTTCTCGTTCTCTTTCTCTTTTATTTCCTTTTCCTTTCTCCTTTTATTTATTCTTTCTTCACCTCCTTTACCATTTTGTCCTTCATCATCCACATTCTATCACACTGCTTATACCTTATATATACATTTTTTTATTTCTGAGTGTACTACAATGGGTTAACCCGCTTGTACTCTTTGATTAAATAAAAAGTTTAAACCAATTTTGCCTGAGTTACGAATTTTTTAATTTTCGGTGAAAATAGTGAGAAATAGTTTATTTCGTCAAGTAAAGGTTTCCACAAAGTTCTTAAGCTTTTTCGAAAAATAAACATTGCCATAAGATTCAGTGTGGTCGATAACCTATGTTCGATGAGTTTTGAAGGTTTCCAAACATGAAGTTTAGCCGATAGGTAGGTCCTCGGAAAATACCTATAGCTCCTGAGCCATGCGAAGTAAAAATCTGGGACTTGTGTAGTTTTAAAGAGGACAGTCTAGAGGTTCGAACCAATCTGTCAGAATTCAAAATACATTATTTTAGAAGCATATAGAATACAAAATCCGTAAAGGTTTTCTAGGATACCACTGGAAAACCCTAAAGTTAGATGGGCTGTGAGGTTCTACTCAATCACTTCTCATATTTATTTGCATAAAGTGAACGGCTATATACAGTACACAAGCTGAACAACAGTTATGCAAGAGTTGCGCAAGAACAGAAAGAGTTGGAAAAACCAGAGGATGACACGAGTATTGCGCAAGAACAGAAAGAATTTGGAAAACAACTGCAAAACAGAAAAGAAAGGATGAAACAAGTGTTGCACAAGAATAGAAAGAAAGGAAAAGAAGAAGAGAACTCTTATGAGCTGCCAGAAATGGCAGATCATAACACGACGCCTGACACAACACAAATTTTTCCACAATAATTTTTAGATAGAAGAAAGTATCTTCAAGACCTATATGGTTGTTTGACTTCGATTTCTAAGGCTGTTCTAAGAAAAAGTGCCCCATAAAACTCCTGCGCTCAAAAATCGACTTTCTGGAGTCCCATTATAAGTTTTGTATTGTCGTTCAATCATTCATACTCCTTATTTATCCCATGGAGAGGGATAGTTGTTATTTAAAATATTAGTTATCTTTCTTTAATCATTTGTTTTGACAGTTAAAACATAAGTAGGACACAACTAATGTAAGTCTACGTCTAGGAACTGCTAGTCTATATTATAGATGAAACTTTTCACCCTCGTTTTTCGAAAAACTGAATCACTGTTTACACATCGAGTTTTAGAACATCTTNGTTCAATCATTCATACTCCTTATTTATCCCATGGAGAGGGATAGTTGTTATTTAAAATATTAGTTATCTTTCTTTAATCATTTGTTTTGACAGTTAAAACATAAGTAGGACACAACTAATGTAAGTCTACGTCTAGGAACTGCTAGTCTATATTATAGATGAAACTTTTCACCCTCGTTTTTCGAAAAACTGAATCACTGTTTACACATCGAGTTTTAGAACATCTTTAATCCTCCGCTGGTTTGGTAATCATGCAATAATACTTTAAAGGAAAATTATCACTCTTGTAGAGGTACACTTTTGTTTTTCTATTCGGCTGACTTTGTTTCTCTTTTCTGTGTGTGTTACGGTTGAGTCACAATTTATTTTGTATTTCTTCACTGCGTATGTTCTCTTTTTTTTGCATTCTCATCAATACCTATGCACATTATACTTAGTGTTTATATGAAAGTATAAAAATTTCATTACTTCAACATTCATTCAAATAAAAATGTCCATCTTATACTTTTTAAATCAACCAGAAACGCGTTCTCTTACCGTCCTCCTTCTACTTGCTGTTATCACACCAATACTAGCAGCTTATACATCATTATTTCCACCAATTCTCTGGCTTAGTCTGACATCAAATTATGTTTATCTATTCCTTTATTTTATTTTCGTTTGTTTTATTACACGACTTATTGCACGCGGTGGTACATACAGTGAAATTAATAAGTTGAACTTGAAAGGAAAAACGTATTTGATCACAGGAAGCGCCGGCGGACTCGGTAAACAGACAGCTATACAACTTGCTAAACGTGGTGCACGTGTCATACTCTTTGCACGTCAATCAAATCTTCAACAAGCTATTGATGATGTTAAAAAACAATCAAAATCAGAGGACAACGTCATTGGGTTTCCACTTGATCTCAGCGATCTATCGTCAATTAAAAAATGTGTTGATCTCTACCATCAAAGTGAAGGTAAAGATGCACAAATTAGAGCGTTGATCAATAATGCCGGTGTTATGGCTTGTCCATATAAACAAACAAAAGATGGTTTTGAAATGCAAATGGGTACAAATCATTTTGGACATTTCTATTTAACAAAATTACTTTTACCACAATTACGAAAATCAAAATCACGTGTAGTCAATGTTTCATCGACAGGACATGCCTTATGGCAAGTACCATGTACACCAGAAACCTATGCACAACAATTGAATGAGAAAACATATAATCCAATGAATGCATATTCATTAAGTAAAATAGCAAATATTTATTTTGCAATTGAATTAGATCGACGATTTGGGCTACAAGCATATTCACTACATCCAGGTGCTGTTAATACTGAATTGCAACGTTATATGGGATTTCTTACTGTATTACGTCCACTGACATTGCTTATATTTAAAACACCATTGGAAGGAGCACAAACACAATTGTATTGTGCATTGGCTGATGGTGTACGACCAGGTGAATATTTCGCTGATTGTAAACAGAAAGCCTATGGAAATCCACATGCTGCTGATAAGGATAAGGCAAAGGAATGGTGGGATTATTCAGAGAAGATGTTAAGTGAAAAATTGAAATGAGAGACATTTAATCAAGATTTAGTTTGACACTTCACTTTTTTTTTGCTTTCTGAAAATGTGAACACTATTCAGTTTTGTAGAGAATAAATTTCATAGATTCTTCAGCAGATGAACGGAAAATTGACTGAGGTGACGATCTTGAATCAGGTAGGAAACTACATTTACAGAGAAAAAACGGGGTTTAAAAAGCATCTCGGTAGTTCCTTCTTAGGCTTTGGAAGTTCGTAAGACTTGCGTCGACCCAGGTGGAAAACGTCCGGTCGGATCCCAAAGAATCCGTTTCATTCCAGCTGTCTGACAGGATCCAGAAAACAGATTTCGTTCAATTTCTGTTCCTTCCGTTATATTCCAATACCTGGAACTAAGATGGATTCGATCACCGGATCCTGTGACAGAATCGTTCGAATCTAATGGTCCGAAGTGAACGGATCCATCCGCTTATAGCTTTTTCTTTTCTCTCTTTTCTTCTTTCCTTTTGCTGCTTTGTATGGTGAATAAATTCACCGATTTGTTTCTCGGTGTTTTTAGTATAAATACGCCATTGTAGAACATGAAATATGAGATTTGTTTTCTCTAAGTTTTCGCACCGAACAGTATGAGTCATCAAACTCACTGCTGTTCGAAGCTGTGGAACTCAGTCAGTCTCACATGCCTTGGGCTAATCCCAGAAACTGATTCAAAAAATAAATAGTAAACAAGAAGAAAGATATTTATGGCTAAATATTAGCTTTTAACGGCTAGAAAACTACCCGGAAATCTGCTGAAATCTGGTGCTTTCCGATGCTATTTCTGACGACTGGAGCCTTTCTATACAATTTCCGATCGGAATCCGGGCAATATACTTCCGATGCAATCCACCATGGATCGGGATGGGTTTTGTTGGAATCCGTCGCCTTCCGGTGTCTTACGACGTCGGATCCGATCGGTTCGGAACGACCTGAGTGGTTGTTGAATATCGAATATCGTAATCAAAAGATGAAAATATAGAAACGTTGGCGCAATCTTTGATATGTCTTCTATACTGTTGAGAACAGATTAGATCTTCTTCGCTGATCCTTGATCGCTGCTGCGCCATACTCTACATATTGTGCATTTACACTGAATATATTGACTTACTTTCTTCTGTTCAATGTACATATTACTCATGTTTCACTTTTTTCAGTTTCAGATCTTAAGTCTTGGCGCATCCTCTAACTTACTTTTTCGACCTTTAAAAGAAAAAGAAGTCAAATTCTGACGAATGGCATCAGTTGAATCAATTGATTGAATCATTATTTACTTCAGTACCTGAAGTTTCAGGAAAACGACGGATGGTATCAATTTTTTGGTAATTCAGGGTATAGTGATTTTCAAGCACATTTCTCACTGATTTCAAGCTATCCTGATTTTTATTGTGTTGCTCATATAAACAAGCCGTATTATCAAATCCTTCTAGCCATCTAATCTTTAATCATGAAGAAAAATTAATTGAAAAATTGTTTGTTGGAAGTGTACAAAGGTGGTGTTGAATTATCAGCACTTATTTAGTTCAAACATTTAGTTTGAAATAATATGTCTAATGCAGAGCAAAAAGATAACAGGAGAGAGCACTGTTGTCGATGATAAATAATCAAAGATATTCCAATGCTTTATCATAATCACCTGTTAGGATAATAAATACGGCCAATAATCACCAGACTTGCGGCTGTACTATCATGGTTCCAAAGACAGATCTGCTTCATATCCAACGCTCTCAAATAATTTTTGAAAGCTCCATCACAATCACCTTTTATACCATATACAGCTGCAAGTCTAGTGAATATGGGCTGTATTTATCCCAAAAAAGGTGACTATGATAAATCTTTGAAATATCATTTGACAGCGTTGGAAATGAAACAATCTGTCTTCCTGGAACCATCATAGTACACCTGAAACTCAGATGAATATTGGCTGTGTTTACGATGAGAGTTCTACTTCCTAGTTAAAAGAACAAATAATACTTTCATTACAACCGTCTACAGACAGAAAACATGCACTAATCTTATGATCAAATGGGACAGCAAAGTTCCTAATCGTACAAGAAGTCCGCAATCAGTTCATTAATCAATAGAGCAATGAAGATTTGCTCAAACTATCAACTATTGCACTCTGGAGAAAAAAGGATGAGTATCAATTTAATCTCGAACCATAGTGTCTGAAGAAAAAGATCGTCAACGTTGCTTCAGGCTCAAATTGGAAATATTGTGCGGTTCGAGATTACGGCTCATTAATGATTTCGAAAGTCTTTAGAAACAAGTACAGAAACTGTCAACAATCTCATTCTACTAACTGCAGCCTCACATACTTGTTTTCCCCGAGTTATTCTTAAATTAGTGGTGAAAAAGTATGGTTTCGTACTTCCAAGATTCCGCCGCCATTTTTCGATCTAGAAATTTCGGATTGGTTTCAGAAAATAGAGAAATGTTGTTTCTATGTCGTGACATCGTTGAATGTATCAATTTCAGTTTAGTTTAGGAGAAATTAAAAAATTTTCCGATACGTTAGAGAGATTTTATTTACTTTTCGGAAACTTTTAAACTTTCTCCCAAACTAAACTTAAACTGATACATTCAACGATGTCACAACATAGAAAAAACATTTCTTTATCCTTGAAACCAATCCGAAATCTTTTTGAAGCTTTTGGTTTCACAATTTTTCCTAAACTTTGGGAAGTACCCCTCGCGAAAGACAGAAAATCTTCTGGTTTATCAAGTATGCTGAATACGAAAAAGCACTTTTCAGCAACTGAAAACCAACTTTATTTGTTTTATTCTGATGATATTTTTTGCTTTACAGAAAAACAGTGTAAATCCGTTGTGCACAGATCTGCCTTACGAAAAACGCAAACAATAACTAAAAATACTGAATAAATCCTTTCAAATCTCTTTCAGAAAATTTTATACGGAATGGCTATTGGCACCTTCAGAGGTGTCACCAAGAAGCTATTGCCACTCTCAGAGGTGTCACCAAGGAGCTATTGCCATCTTCCAGTTCACTATTATGTCCAAAGGTGTCAATAACGGCTATTGTCGCATTCTAGCTTACAAGTATGAGTGCATATTTGTGGAATTGTGGTGGAAAATCGATGAGTTTATTGAGGTAATGTTGGGCTTTCTGAATCAACAGATTTCAGCTGGTGGCCATTGTTTACCATCGTCGTAACTGTACGAAGCTTTGGAGTATTGATGGTTAGCAGGTTATTGAGCCAAGGTGATTTTGGAAAAAATGAAGATCTCTTTCAGCGTTGACTGTACCTGATTCTCAGTGGGTAACAGGCCGAGTGCTCAAAGCTGCTACTTATGTATTTAGCACGCACAGATTGTTTCTAGTGTTTCGTTTTAGCATCATGATCTGTTTATCATCTAAAAATATTTTAGATTAGTTATGAATTTTCAATTGCAAAACACTTTTGTCTAGTCAATTAGCCTTACTTCTCTAATAAGAAGCTGTAGGTATGTATAGTATTCAGCTCATAATAAATTATTTTTCACGATTCCTTTATTTTTTTTCTGCTTTATTTATATGGTGTATTTTATCCCGTTTTTAGAGCTTTCGGAAAATGTTTTATGGATAATTTTTCATGCGTTGAATATTTTAATATATGTTTTATTCTTTTCTACGTTCCGAAACGTGATAGGTTAAAAGTTGTAATAGCTGTTGTTCACACCTTCGGACATAATAGTGAACAAGACGGTGCCAGCAGCCGTTGTTGACACCTTCTGAAGGTGGCAATAGCCGTTGTTGACACCTTCTGGAGGTGGCAATAACCGTCAATGACACCTTCTGGAGGTGGCAATAGCTGTCAGTGACACCTTCCGAAGGTGGCAATAGCTCCTTGGTGACACCTCTGAAGGTGACAATAGCGCTACCCAATTTTATAATATTAATAAACAATATCGATGTATGTTAATCGTGTAATGTTGATTCGATTCGATACGAAAAAATGGTTCACAACAATAATGTATATATGCAACCTGGTAAAGAAAAAACGAAAAGAAAGGAAATTGCATATGTATACTGTCCATGAGAGAAGATAGTAGACCAAAGAATGGGCTAACCAGAAATCCTATGTAAGTGCTCCCTTCCGTTTCCAATGATTTATACGTCGATCGATAGGCTATATTGAGGTAGCAAAAAGCTTAAAAGGATTTGGGCCGATGGCTTTTCCTTCAAAACTTATAGCCATTCTTCTATTTTTGCTCTGAACAAGAATATACCATATGCCACAAATAACTGGACATGTAATGACAACGATAATTAAACAGAATATTGTTGCAGAACCAATAGTTATTTGTTTTAATAAATGAAGTGAATTTTGACGTACGATAAATTTAAACGCTATTGAAAAATGTGTTACATAAAAAAGAAAACTTAATTTGGCTAATGGTGACCATATTTTTAATGAAAAAAATGCTTTCATCCATGGACTATGATAAGGATGTGTTGTTGGACAAAATGTTGTAAATATTAGAAAAGGTTGACAAATTGAAAATAATTGTCTAACAGATGAAATCAATATTGTTAATAAAAAAAATATCAGGTGTTTCAACATCTCTATCGTTATTTTGGGGTATCATCACTACTAACATAACCGACCAAACAAGACCAAATAAACAGATTTTTTTTAATTGGATCTATAGCATTGTACTTAGCGGGTATTTGTAAGGTGCACGCAAAGCAAGGTTCGAGCAAAAATTTTTTTTTCGATGTTTCAGCCACCATTCGATAGAGAATTTTACGGCGATCAAGAATATGTGTTCCCTGAAAATTTTCGATGCTTCTTTCT